TGCAGAGGTGTTCCATCACAGGGCTGAGGTGTGAGGAAATCATCTCCTCCCTAACGCGCCGAGAGCAGGACCGGGACTGCAGAGTCCCCTGAGCTTTTCTCACTGAGCCAATATGGAAAATAGGGAAATCTTCTGGAAATAGGAATTTCTTACTTGGATATCGACTCTAAAGCAATTGTGCCTCTATTTGATTAAGTTAGTGAAGGCTAAGTAAAACAGCAAATGACTGGGGTGCCAAAATCAGGGTAAAGGTCCAGCAATCCCGGGCAGAGCTTTCTGTACATGAAACCCAAGTTCAGGGGAAACATTTTGGTTGGGTTTGGCCAGGTGCTTTTACTGCTGCTCATGATATTTGTGTGCCCTGCACAGGGACACAGTCCTCTCGTGTTTCCACAGAACAGGACTGGTGTGCTTTCCCCATCATCCCTCAAGAGTCTACAGCCCTTAATTTTCTGTCATCTCTCTGAAAAACTGATCATCCTAATTATTGATCCAAAGCTTAATGTGCTAATAAGAAATGAATACTCAACTTACCATGGAAAAAATAAACCAAATACCACCACCTTCCACTTTTCCTCCAAGCGCAAAATTTAGTGTGCATTGTGTTTTCAACACTGCACAAGATTATACAGCAGCAATTAATGCAGTTACAGCTCATGCTTTTGATGTTTTTATCGAGGTGGGAATCTCTCTACACATTTTTACCATGCACACAGTCTGAGTGCATTTTGCTGTCCTTTGTGTCACACTATCAGCTAATAGCAGTGCTGGATTAGTGCTGAAAGCTCTAAGCTTTTCTTTAGGTTGTTCTGTATTTATTTTTATTGACACCAAATTATGGATAGTTGGATCGTGTAATGACAGAGGCAGTATTAAAAATGTAGAATGTGGTTAGGAGTAGGGCCAGGTGCATGCTGGGGGAGAAGCTCAGCCCCAGGACAAGAGTGGAGCAATGCAGCAGCAAAAAGCATGGGCAGGTAAGTGTCTGTTAGTCCCAACAAGAGTCTGTCAGTGTGTTAGCTTCAGCACAGCTTCTGCTGGACTTGTAAAGGAGCAGCTGCCAGCACGTGTTCCTCAGGACACTGTGAACACAGCACCTAGCATTGATGGTAAGGTACACCAGACTCATAGCTTCTGTCATCTTCATAGCTTTATGGAGCTTTTTTATTGATATTTTGGTTTGCTTTTCCTTCATTAGGCTCCCCGTTCAGAAGCTCACACCATCCTTGGTTCTCTGGTTTGCTTTCCAAATATCTACCAAGAGATCCCCCTGCTGCGGCCCATTTCAGAACCCGGTGAGATCATTGTGGGCACTGCAGATGTGAAGGTAAGAGTCACACCTTGTTAGTAAATCCTCAGGTAACATAACACGTTTTTACTTCAGTCACTTCATTCCCCCTGTGTGGTTTTGTTTAAAAATCAAACCCTGCCTTCTCCTCCAAGCCCCACAGCTGCACATGTTGTATGTGCTTGTGTGGTAAACATTGCTTTGCTTAATATGTACCATAAAATTGACAAAGCTTAGATACTGCAAATTAGATTTTGTTTTCAAGGAGGGTGAAGAGGCTATAGTCAAATGCAATGTTTTCCAGACAGATGCCTGTCAGGTCAATTCATTAGATGGTGGTGTTATTATTTAAAGTCTCTGTTCATCGTATTTGTGTATATCGACTTGTGGGTGGTGCATAAGGGGAGATACTTTTTGCCTTATTGGTATTATAGTTAAGAAAATTCCACCATTAGAACCATCATCTGATGTGAATGGTTCTTCCCTGGGAATTAATTTCAGTGGGACACCCTGAGACATGAATTGCTTTGCAGAATGGAAAGCTTAGTAGTTTAATGATCTTCACAACAATAATCTTGTAGGGGAAAAAAAATGATATGCAAAGACCCAACAAAGGTGACCTGGAGCATCACTTGCAGGTGAAACCTGCCCAAAAGGTTGCCCTCTCAGAAGCCTCTGTTGCTTTTTGATGAATTTGAGGCACTACAGTGATCCACTACCTGAAATTAGATCTGTCTGGGGAGGAATCTCCAAATTGGTGTGAGAGGGAGGGTAGAACTGGAGAGAATGTGAAACCTTAAGCAGGCCTGGCTCCAGTTCTTGCTTTCTTCATCAGGCCTCAGAGAGTCACTGGAGGTATGCTAAAACAGTTTCCATTTTAAAAGTTATCTTTTCTGTACTAAAAAATACACTCAATTTTTCATAATGTGGCTTGTTTAGCACTAAATGCTATAGTTTGTATTATGAAGTGATCACCACTCACCATTAGTAAATACCCATCACCTCTAAAAATTAGTTGATTTCCTTCTTGCTGCCCATACGTAGTTTTGGGGTTGGTTAGTTTTATCCACAAGGGCTTGTATGTGTGGGTTGCAATCAGCATTTCTCCCTTGACAAAATGAAATTGGTGTAAGGTAAAATTGCTTTAAGAATAGACTGAAAATTAAAAGTTATTTCACTTAAAAATTAAAAAACTTTAAATAAAGCAGATGTATGAAAAAGATGCTTATTCTGATTTATTTTATTATTTTAGTGTTACCTCATAAATATTTTATTGAAGAATGCTACAGAGGAGCCAAGTGAAGCTGCAAGGTAAAATAATGAGTAAAAGAAATGGGAAAATAGGAGAGTCTTGATAGTTATTTTTGGTGCTTGTACAGCTGAGTTGTTACCAGTGCCTTGTGGTCTGATCCCATTTAGATGAGTTCTTCACTTCAGCCTGTGGAAGGTGAGATCCACTCCACACCTGATGTGTGAGAGGGAAAAGAGAGATCTCAGCTTTGTGCATTTCTTTCTTTTTCTTTTTTTTTCCCTTAAATATTCTTCTAAAACTTCTGACACAACCCCTTTTTCTTTTAAAAAAAGGTGCATAGCCATTTGTGGCCTTGGAGTTTGGATATGTGAAGAGCTAACACAGTGCACGAACCATCCCCAAGTGAAGGAAGCCATCAATGTCATAGGTGTGACCCTGAAGGTATCCCTCTGAGGGCCTCTGTCAGCAATAAGCATTGTGTAAAAAAGGCATTGCCAGGTTTGATGTCGTTGCTGGCTCTGTGGAGCACAGGCTGCTGGTTTGTCTTTTCATTGCTTGAAGCACTGGCAGGACACAACTGCTCGGGAGGCTTTGCAGAGCATTAGTGATGTGGCAGTAGCCATCTTCAGCAGGGTGCCTCCCAGTTCTGACCCTTCCTGTGTCATTAGGAGGTCATTATCTCCAGCCAGTGTGGTTCAGCTCTTCAGCCAGGCCAAGGTGGCAACCTATACAACGTGCAAAACACTTGCAAAACTAGCCTGTGATTGTGTACCTAAAGACCCTTTCCACAACAGAGTTAAGTTTATGTAGAAAACGTCAACAATTTGATTTTGCAACACTGATGCTTTTTATTGTTTGCATTGGTGCAAAATAACTTTAAACATAGAAAAACTGCATGCATTGTATTGTAGCTGGATACTTTATTTGACTGCTAATCACCTTTTCTCTTCCAGTTCTCTAATAAGCTGGTAGCTCAGGTAGCCTGTGATGTTCTTCAGCTGCTGGTTTCTTACTGGCAAAAGCTTCAGCAGTACGAGTCCTCTCTGTCCAGAAAAATCACTGAAGTACGTCGGTTTCTTTAAAAAATGTTTGTATGGGAATCATACCTAAAGCTCTCTTAATTCCTTACCTGAGCTACTGTAACTGTGACTTTAACTGTTTCTTTCTTTTGCCCTTATTGTTGGGAAATGTACTTTCTGTAGTCCTAGGACCAGCCTATTTCTTTCATTTGAAGTGATTTGTTTCCAAAATGCTCAGTAAAACTTTTTGTTTCACTTGGACATTGATTAGAAGGGCAGTTAGATGCCCCTCAGATAATTTACCCTTTTTCATACCCCGTTCAAATGAAGTTCATGCTCTGTCTTTACAGTGAAAGAGTTAAATGTCCTCCTGGGATTTTTGTCTGTTTTGCTGTAGATCCTTGTGGCCACTATTGCATTTCTGTTGCCAAGTGCTGAGTACTCCTCTGTGGAAGCAGATAAAAAGGTATGTTGATGGAAAGCTCAGTCTCCAGTCTGCCTTTGTGCCCTTCAAGATGACTATTAAATGAAGTTGTTTTGAACCAGAGTCATGTTTTAAAGTTTCAGACTCATAGGTGAGTTTAATAAAATGCACATTAATAGTGTGTTACGTGGTTTTGTTTAGTTTATAGTTTCACTGCTGCTTTGTTTGTTGGATTGGTGTATGGCATTACCCATGAAAATGCTGCTGGAGCCAGTGTCTGCTGGTGGTCTTGAAGATCAACACGCATCCAAAGCTCCTCTGCTGGACTATATTTACAGAGTGAGTACAAGGGATAATCATGATGTGTTGTGTCAAGGTGTTTAAACAGGCCTGTCACAGATCCTGTTAGCCTCAGAAGCATTTTTAGCAAGCCCTAGAAAATTAGGAATTCTCTCAGTGTTGGCAGAAGTCATACAGATGAGAAGTGAAGAGTGCAAAATGTTAAATGATGCGACCTGGGATGTAGAACAGACAGAGGGTGGTGAAGAGAGAAAGCTGAAATGCTCAACAGAATGAGCCAGGGAAAATAATCTTTGCAAAAGCATTTGAATTATTTAGAATACAGAATTAAGTCCCGAAGTGAGCTGTTAAACTACAAAATAAGTGCTGATGAAAAGCATTACTTTAAAAATGCTGTACTTAGGCATGGATGTTTTTAGAAGCACGTCCTGCCTTTCCCAATGTAAGAATCAGGGTGGGTGTCTCCTCGGGGAGCGTGCTCAGGCGGGTGCTGTAGCGTGCCCCCCCTGCAGGTCCTGCACTGCTGTGTGAACGGCTCCAGCACCTACACCCAGCAGAGCCACTACGTGCTGAGCCTGGCAGACCTCTCCTCCAGAGATTACGACCCGTTCTTGCCGCTGGGGAACGTCAAGAGCTCCGAGCCAGCCCAGTGTCACTCCTCCTCCACGGATCTGGGCAACCTGCTCACTGTCGCCGAAGGTAAGAGCTCAGAGAGCGTGGGGGGGACCAGCACATGGATGTTCAGCAGCAGGGACATGAAACGCAGCTTTCCAGGTTACATCTCTCCTTGAAAACTTGCTCCTCCTTACTGCACCTAGCAACTGTTCCTTGAAAATCAGGCAGCGCCCTTTTTTGATGAGTTTCAGTTGCCTCTGTAATAGGTTGTTCAAGTTTGTTGCTGACACTGCTCTTTATGAAGATCACAGGAGACAGAAAGTGACACTAAGGTGCTGTGTAGTTAGAAATTGGTACAGGGACAGGGTAGACAGAGAAGCTGGTTTTGCTTTTAGTACTACTTATAATTTAGTATATAGAATTAAATTCAACAAATAAGATAAGCCCCAAGTCAAACCTCTTCCAGAAGCACACAGCTGCCTGCCCTTTGTGAATTTTTCAGTAGAAATGGCTCCATTGCCATAGATAATTTGCCTGTTCCGAGTGATTTGAGAAGAGCATGTGTAACTTGGCTGAAATTCTGCAGCTGCACAAATATGCAAAATGATTCACCATCTACCTGTCTCTAAAGTGGAAGGAGGTTATTTGGATCTAGGTACGTTGTTACTAACTTTTTAAAGTTGACTTAAAAGTAAGCAGCCAAAGATATGAAATAATTAATCTCTAAGTGAATTAGTATAGAGATCATCTTTATTTCAAACACTTTTTAGAATAACCTTTGAAACAGTGTCTGTTCAGCTACAGATTATGTCCATTTTAAGTCATTTCATATAATAATATGCATTAACATATTTCTGCAGAAGAATCAAACGTACAGATGCACTAAGTTGTGTGAGATAATGTTAGATTGCAGTGATGCTATAAAGCAGTATTTTCAGGATTTAATGCCGTACTGCTTTTCAATCCTACAGCTTTTCTCTGGTTTTGAGTATGAACATTTAGTGTTAATGAAAAGGTGTGAAAACATTAAAACCTATTTGACGACAGTTTCTTACTGAGCAGGGCGTGTTGTGGATAGCAGAAAGTTAAATTTCCATGTCAGGTACATTTGTCATTTTAGGTGACACGATTCTCATTGTGGAGATGTTAGTGCCCTGCAAGTTCTTTAGTTTGCTTTTGTTTGAAAAGGATTAATGCAGAGATTTACTACTAGGATGATGACTGTGGGAATACAGGTGGTGGGGAGAAACACCTGAGCTTGCCAGACAGAAATAGAGATAGCAGGTATTGTGGGATCTGTTGTGACCTGGATGTTCCAGTAGGCTAAAAGTCAAAGGACGTGTGGTAAAATAAAATAAAAGTGTGACAGGTAGAATTTCTGGGAAAGTGATTGTAAATAGTTTCTTGAACAGGAACGTTCAGGAAGACAAAACAAGGCAAGATTCTGAAATACAGCAGAAACTTGCTGATGCTCTTTTTTAATTGCCTCTCACTTCTCTTATTGACCCATTAATTTTTCATTGCTCATTTTAGAAAAAAAGAGGAGGAATTTGGAATTGATACCTCTGACGGCGCGGATGGTTATGACCCACCTGGTGAACCACCTGAGCCACTACCCGCTCAGCGGAGGCCCTGCCGTTCTCCACAGTCTCCTCAGTGAGAACCACGACAACTCCTACGTGGAGTCCTCCGAGCTCTCCTCAGAAGTCTTCCGGAGCCCCAACCTGCAGCTCTTCGTGTTCAACGACAGCACTCTGATATCCTACCTCCAAATCCCCGCCGAGAAGAGGGCGGAGGCCGAGCCGGCGGCAGCCCCCTCGGACGTGCGGGTGATCGTCCGGGACATCTCCGGGAAGTACTCCTGGGATGGCAGGATGCTGTACGGGCCTCTGGAGGGCTGCGCGCCGCGGCAGAGCGCGGCCGACGCCTTCCTCCTCTCGGACAGCCCCCAGCACCACTGCGTTTCCCAGGAAGACATTTCTCAGGTGGAGGAAGGAGAAGACGCTCTCGACCAGTTGCTGGAGAAGATAGGTACCACCAGTCCGGAATGCCTCTTACATCCCCAGCGAAAGCTGAACGAGCCGTCGCCACCTCCCTGTGGGATGAGCCACGAGCAGGAGAGTGCCATCATTGAAGCCCTGATGAGGCAGAGCGCCCAGGAAAAAGAGCACATATTTAAATACAGCTCAGACTGCAGTATGAAGGTGACCCGCCAAGAAGAACCACGTCCTACTGAACCCCAAGCCTCCTTTTATTTTTGTCGGCTCTTGCTAAATGACTTGGGAATGAATTCCTGGGATAGAAGGTAGGAAGAAAGTATTAAGGACATATTTTCAGTACTCTTATTACTCTTGCCACTTCTATGCCAGAACATCTACCCTCTTAAGAAAGTGAGATGTGTATAGTTTGGCGGCAGAGCACCCTTTTGAACTTCTATGTATACCTGCTCCAGTAACTATTTTTAATAGACGTCTGCAGATTGTTTATAATAATAAAAATATCATTTGAATCATGCTTATTTGATTGCCTTCTCATAGGTATTTTAATTAGACAGTACCGTGTCTGTATGGTGTTGCTTTTTCCTTCAAATATTTCTTTTTATATCTTTATAGAAAAAGCTTTCATCTGCTTAAGAAGAATGCAAAGTTACTGCGAGAACTGAAAAATCTGGATTCCCGCCAATGGTAGGTGATGTTTGCTGCACACACCCCTGGCAAGGTTCATGTCTCCAAAGAGAGAATAAGCACATCACCAAAACTTCATTAAGATTTGCACGTGCCAGCAATACAAATATTTGTATGAAAAATGGATTGTTCTTCGTGAGTTCTGGAGCCTGGATGGACCAGCCACTGGCACTGTATACACAGAGTGCTGAATCAGTAGCAAGTACTAACACAGAGCAACCTAGTTCCAGTTTCCTTTTGCTGAGAGGGCAGGGAAGAAGTTCCAGCACCTTTCGTGGCCTTGGCTCAGCTCACACAGAGGGCTGTTTTTTGCAGGACAATCCCCGTGTCAATCCACTCAGCTTGTTTCCAAAGAAGCCAACTCTCACTGTCAGCCTTGTAAAACTCAACCCAGGATCTGAAAGCCAGTAATGTTTTTTTCTTTCACCCTACAATTAAAATTCTGTAGGTTGAACATGGCTCCCATTGACTCCTGTGCAGTCTGCCTGTCTTTGGCAAGGTTGCGCAGACGGAGGCGATTAACCCTGGAACTGCACTTGGTCAGCAGTTGTTGTGCTGAGGCACGGGAGGAGCAGACTTGGCTCTGCTCTCTGACCCGTGGTGTCTCTGCAGTGTGCTCATAGGGAAAAGGGCCCGTGAAAATACATTTCTGCAGCTGAAATTGAATTATGTGTTTGCGTGCATAAAAGTGGATGTGTAGTGTCAAACGCAGTCACAGGTTCATAGCTTTTGAGTCCAGGTGATGTAAAAAATAATTCTGAGTTAAATTCTTTAACTTTTTCTGTCTTTTTCTGTGTGCTTACAGCCGTGAAACTCACAAGATCGCGGTGTTTTACATCGCAGAAGGGCAGGAGGACAAGTGTTCCATACTCTCCAACACGAGGGGAAGCCAGGCTTATGAAGATTTTGTGGCTGGGCTGGGCTGGGAGGTAAGAGTCATAAATTCAGGCAAGCTGCCACACTTGGTCTGAAGACCCATGGAAATCAAAGTAAGCCAGTTAAGTAGGTAAATGGAAAACAAACTGCTTATATCACTGCATATTTTTTAATCCTCCAGAACAAAAAAAAGAAGATTAATTTTAATATGAACTACTCTTTAGCTGTACTTAAAAGGTCAATTTTTTAGCTGGATGGTGTAAATCCACATGCTCCTTCTGGCTGAGCACATCCTTCCCATTTCTGACGGACAGGTGGTGCTGCAGGAGACATTTCTGCTTTCTGCATCGTTAAGAGCTATAGCATAATTTTACCTTAATTTTTGCTCCTTTTACTCTTCACATGGTCAGGTCATTTAAGCACAGGACTGCTTTATGAAGGACACAAACACCTGGGTTTAGTTTGTGTGGCTGAAATGGTGTGTCAGTAACCTAAATGACAAGAACATTTATGGGTTTGGAAGTACATGGTAGCTGTGTTTCATGTTTAAGGATTTAAGTGACACAAGGTCTACAGGGAGAGGTGACATCTGCAGTTAGACTGCTGCCGTTGGGAAAACAAACAAGCTCTTGGACACAGCCTTGTCTTCAGGGAGGCATTTCTACTGAATAATCCTCTGGAATAGTTTCTTCTGATGTTTTTCTTCTTGTACAAACCTCTGGTTTCTTTTTGCAGATTTTCTGATGGTTTGTATTTTCTCTGCCCTTTAAAGTTATTTCTCACAGTGTATGTTTTGAGTGGGCTCGTGAAGCCAGGCGTGGCCCTGCGAGAGCTGCCCATGCCAGAACACTTTTGCTGCCTGGCTGTTACCTGCTGGAAGGAGGGGAAGATAGCCTTGTAGATAACGACTCCATACCTAGCTGAGAGATGTTTTCTGTTAGTAAATGCTCAATACAGGAGTGGGAAATGGATCTAACACAAAGATCACAAACCCTATAGGGGAAGACTGCTACAGAGCTCTGGAGTGGTGAATTCACCAGGTCTTGATACACAAGCAGGTCGTGATGATTGATCAGCTCTCCTGCATGCCTTCTAACCGTGGCTTTCCATCGACCAGGTCGACCTCTCGACGCACGGCGGGTTCATGGGCGGCCTGCAGCGCAACGGCAGCACGGGACAGACTGCGCCCTACTATGCCACCTCCACTCTGGAAATCATCTTCCACGTGTCCACAAGAATGCCCTCGGATTCAGACGATTCACTGACCAAAAAGGTAAAGGATGTGCTGTGCCTGTCCGAACGCCGCCTGCCGTCTTCCAGCGCTTCAGTCGAAGCCGAAGCTGAGAACGGGTTCTGCTGGCTGGTGCCAGCCGCCCATCTTTGCTGTGCCACGTGGTAGCTGCAGCTAGATGATCTGAATTAAATGGCATCTCAGTTCTGGATTCTGAAATGCAATTAACATTTCCATGGTAGCCTCAAATACCACCATTAGTAATAATATTAGCAATAATTTCATTTGTAGGCTGTCTGCCTGCCAAAACTGTTGTGTTTTGGTAGAACAGAACAACCAAGTGCAGCGTAATAAAACCTCACAGATGAATCATCCCCCGTGTACCAGAAAGAGGAGAGGTAAAAGAGGAGTGACAAGCATGGTACCAAAAGCAGCCGACTGCTATTTAAAGCCATTATCCAGTTACTCACAATCCTGACAAGCAGACTCTCTTGCAAAGATGGATGGAACCCAGCCCCAAATTTTGTTGGTATCAGTACTCAATCATTTGCCTTTCCTAATAAGGAGTGATTTGAGATTAAGCTGCTTGTCAGTTGCTGCTTAGAGTCAAAGATTTTAGGTGCATACCAAATCATTGCCTTTTTAATTAGGATTGGCAACTTGTCCTGCATAGGTTGTTAATGTGCGTTAATAATGCTGCTACAGCCACCCAGTCTACCATGTGGTACTATTGTGTTCTGAAAATTACCTATAAATATGCCACTGGGTGATTGTATTTGCCCACTGAGTTTCAAAATAACATGTGCTTTTCCTCAAAATAAAAATATGGCATTTCTGATGACTGGTCCTGAAAACTTGCCCAGTATTTAGTACTAAAGCTAGATCCTTTCTTTTTATATTGTGATATCTCTCATTAAAAATACATAGTCAACAAAATTACATGTTTCTCTTCATGTACGCAACTCATTATCTTTGTACTAGGGGATTCACAGGGCTGTGGAAAAAAATGTAATCCGAGTGCTCTGGGGCAGAGGAGTAGGGCTGTCGTGCATGTTTAGAGGCTGTACAGGCTCTGTCACTTCATGAGGGTTAGACTATGTGTATTTTTGTTGTTCCTGGCCAGTACCTGTCTGTCTGCAGCTAAAAACTCCAGTGATGGGTGTTTCACAGTTTCCCTAGGCATTCTATTCCAATGCTTCACTTTTTGTACCGTGAGAAGATTTCTTGTAGCTTTGACTTTGTTTCAGTTTAATCCCATTTGTTCTTACCCTATTCCACCTGGACATGGAGAACAGATCATTTTGCAGCAGAAACCATTCATCTTTGGGAACTGCTACAATGTCTTTCCCAGTCA